ATGTACAGGCCCATCTGAAGTTTGCCAATGAACATCTGAATGATTCAGAGGAGAACTGAATGAAAGTGTTGTGGTCAGATGAGACCAAAATTGAGCTCTCTAGCATCAACTCAATTCGCCGTGTTTGGAGGAGAAGGAATGCGGCCTATGACCCCAAGAACACCATCCCCGCCATCAAACATGGAGGTAGAAACATGCATTGGGAGTGTTTTTTCTGCTAAGGGGACAGGACAACTTCACTGCATCAAAGGGACGATGGACGGGACCACGTACCGTCAAATCTTGGGTGAGAACCTCCTTCCCTCAGCCGGGGCATTGAAAATGGGTCGTGGATGGTTATTCCAGCATGGCAATGACCCAAAACACATGGCCAAGGGAACAAAGGAGTGGCTCAAGAAGAAGCACATTAAGGTCCTTCAGGGGCCTAGCCCAGGGGTCCCCAAGCCCCAGTCCATGGACCTGTACTGGGCTGCGGCATGCCAGCAACCGGGCCACACAAATAAGCAAAGCCCCATCCATGGGATGCAGGCAACACACAAAACCATGCACCCTCCAGTCCGTGGAAAAACCTCTCTCCACAGAACTGGTCCCTGGTGCCCAAAAGGTTGGGGACCTCTGGCCTAACCAGTCTCAAGACCTTAATCCCATAGAAAATCTGTAGAGGGCGCTGAAGGTTCGAGCTGCCAAACGTCAGCCTTGAAACCTTAATATACTTGGAGAGGATACACACACACACACACACACACACACACACACACACACACACACACTCAGATATTTGCTGACAAGAGTTAAAGATTTAAGTGGGAGACCAGTATAGCTATTTTGGATTCATTTATCTTCATCAGCCAGCCACACCCTTTATGGGATTCGAACCTGGGCAGTCTACATGTTAGGCAAAAAAATATATCTGAATTTGTAATGTATTGCAGTGGCGACTTGAGCCTGCTTAACGCCTCTAGTTGTGGGGCTGCAAGGCAAAAGAGATTATAAAAAGTAGAACTGCAGTATAGCAGTCAAAATGCCAAGGTGTAATCAATCAGACTGCTCTGTCTGAAAAAACTTTCTACATATACATACATATACATATATTATGCTGTTCACTTAATGACTGCAATGCTTCCCTTAATGAATGATGGGGATGGAGGCTTTAAACCTGTTGTAGTGATGTGATTTTCCATTTAGCAACTGTAGAGCTTAGTAATGGTATTTGCTGATCTGAATCTCACTATGAGAAACCTATTAAATATATATGCCACCTGACTCCCAGCAACCCTGTGCAGTTCATCAATTGTTAAAAACATACAAAAAACTCCCCAAAATAACACAAAATGAAAGGAACAAAGACAGCAGAGAAAACAAACCCAGGTGGAAAGATGAAAATGAAGAAAAGGGGCATCAATCATCCTTGCCAAAGGCCTGGAGGGAAATCCATAACTTCAAGGCCCTTTGTAATATCAATTGCTCAATGAAAATGGCAGGATACTGAGAAAGAAAGGGAGAACTACCCAGCTTTAATTCTGCCTTAGACTTTTCCTACGATATGTTTCATTATGCAGTTGTGAAGAATAGCTCTGAGATAACTGTAGTAATTTGTAGGGTGTATTTACTTTAAACGAGTTTAAATTTCGAGAACCAAATTAATTGTGAATGTATCCTAGGATATAGAAGGAATTTATTGATGGTTTGATCAAACTTCTACATATTAGTGAGAAATCCTGAACAAAGTTAATATGAGAGACAACCCGAAGAGAGCAAATTCTATTCTTACCTTCCAAAACAAACAATAAACAGAAAAAGATTTGAAGCAGACCAAAATCTATCCTTGATAACAGGATAGAATATGAAGAAGCTAACAATATGATGGCTATTTAGAAACGGTCAACTAATCTCTCCAGACCACTCTCATTTTTTTATTAGCTAACTTTAATAGATTGTGGGAATGCTGTAGACGTAGTATATTTTAATTTCAGTGAAATATTTGATAAAGCATCAAACAAAATTTGATATAAGATGGGTGGCTATATAAATGTTTTAAATAAATAAACATTCTGATTAGTAAGCTAATTAAGTACAGGCTGATAGAATGTCTATTTGATCGAACCACATCCAGCTTAAAAATATTCCAAAAATGTTATCTTTTTTTATTTCTTATTAAATTTGGAAGTACCAAATGGAGTGTCACAGACTGTTTTCCTTGACAAGTACTATTTGATGTTTTATTAATGACACATACTGTAAGTTTATTGGCTGGGGAAAAGCATTTGATAGAAGAATTTTACAATTGTAGCTTTTTTTGCAAAAGGTGCCCCTAATTGTTTACAGGTCCATATTTATGTACAGACAATATTCCTGTTGGAATTGCCAGCAAAGTGGCTGTCTGGGAGGTTTTCAGCATAAATATATACATAAAAGATATGTATAAACTCAAAAACTATTGTAAAATTTACTACATGATGAAAAAGAAAAAAAGAAAACACCAGGAACATTAAAAAAGAAACAAATTCTAAAAACAAATAAGGAAAAAATAAAGAGACATATTGGAAATAGAAAAAATTGTTTACAAAAGTCAAATTTCAAAATCACATTTTCATCTATTTTATATTGTCAGGTTCCTAATTTTATACTAACACAAATTGTTATCATTCAGTTTTAAAACAGTGAATTGAACCAAGACTATGTTAATTGCTTTGGCCTCTTATTCAGTATAAAAGCCAGTTCAAAGGCTGAGAAATGACAATTTTTAATAAGTAATCTTTTAAATTATATATTTTAAATACATAAGTATATTTGAAATCATATGAAGTATATCTAACATTCCTTACAACCTGAAACCATTAACTGAGCAAGGTTGGTATTTCAATGTTATATTCCAAATTTATTATATATTATTTAAATTTAATTCTGTAGAGCTTAAAAAGGTATGACTCATCATAAAATCGTCACTTGACACACCCACACCTGAAGCCCTTATAAACAGAAGAGCACTGACACAGACATCCTCTAAACGCTGCTGAAGATGTTACCTAGCCTGGTAATGACATGCTCAGAAACCAACCCACAAGTTCGGAGAATGAACCTTCATCCTCATCCTACACCCCAGCTACAGATATTTGCCATCATTGCAATACATACAAAGCGTTTGATTAAAATGTTGATGAATTTTATTATTGAGGAGTCCTTGGTGCTCTCTGAGCTTGGTTATTTACTTGGAATTTTATTATTTCTTGTTACTAAATCTTGTGAATGTTGTAACTATTATAGACTAATTTGGTTTAGTATCATTTTTATTCTCAGTTAACTAGGTGTTTAAGATATTTCAGGCCTGTGAAATTAGTGTACTTACTTTTGTGTAACAATATTAAATGCTTTTATCTTCTCTTTTAGAGGGAAAACAGTATAAAAATACAATAGATAAATCAATGGATGATTGAATTAAGTAGAATATCCTCAGGGTTTTGTTTTTTTTAATATTCAAGATGCAGACCTTTTTTAGTTTGACCAAAAGTGCTTTTCCTAGAGGAAAGAAAATGGGATAGAGCATGGAAATTTTAGTTAAAATTCAGTAGGTAGTGATTTTCCATCTTGACAGGACTTTTGCTTCCTTTTGCTTTGATTCTGGATCTTCATGAGTAAACATGGTAATGAACTTACATAGTTCCTTGACTCCAACAGATTTTGAATGTAACTGTTATGTTTTGGAGGAATCAGGAAAAAAGATAATAAACTAAAACAATAAAAGTTTTTTCAATGTTATTATCTGTCATACTTTTTAAAAAAATGTCATTTTTGCAACAGATTATTTTTTACTTCAGTTCATCTTTCTTTCTCACCTTTCTTTTAGATATACTTTTGTCAACAGGAAAAGTAAAAATAAAGATCCATGTTTTTTTTTATATCTCAATTTACTCCAGTTTGGAGCATCATTCTACAAAGTTGAGGAATGCAGTCTACCTCCTTATATTTTCATTACTTGTTAAAATTATTGCAAAATAAATGTAAAGTATGTCCAATTTACATATTGTACTCAACATAACACATTTTGCATGCTCTGGTTTAGCATGCTATGTGAATCCAGCTATTGTGGTTTTAAACCATGATGAAAATCCACCCACAGTGGCAAACACAATAAACCACTTTCAAACAAACCATGGATTACTTAAATTATGGACTCAGCCACTGTTGTTTTATAATGTGTACGCTTGCAATCTGCACAAGGACTGAATATTCTGTGATTATTACCCTATTCTAAGTCAAGCAATTTGATCCATTAGCAAACAGAATATGAGTTCACAGAACGCAATTCAAAGGTAGGATTATGAGAAGGGTGGTGAAAAGGACGTATTCATTCACAAGGAGAACAAAATGATTTGGAATCTAAATTCTTTTATTATTAGCGTTCCACAAAATTAACAATAATCTGAATCCTATATACTGACAAAGGGAATGTGATACGGTATGTAGGTTTTCTAAGATAAAAACAAATTTAAGTCCAGCTATTTCAAGCTGTCTGCAGATCTAGCTGACAACCTCAGATTTAACTAAAAGTTTTTAACGCTTGTTTTTACATCTTTTTGACTAATAGGTGATTTAGTCAAGACCTAGATGATTCTGCTACATCCCTAATAATAATGCATACAAATTAAGGAACAACCCTTGAAGCTAATTTGAAATTAAATCCTTTGAATTCATCAGACTTATTTATAGATAAAAAAGTGCCACACCAATCCATGTGCGCTAAACCACCATGCTAATCCAATTAGTTGCTTTTAAATGTAATTAATTTTATCCAATAACATACTTACTACAGACTAAACTCGCTACTGCTGACTTTTGAGTAATTGCCAATGGAGCAAGCTGCCACTGAAATCACACTTACCTTTATTTAACACCCTTGATCTGAGCCGAGATTTCTTTCATTAATTATACTGGAATACAAGCGGATTGCCACTTTCTTTTACGGTATCTTCAGCACACGGGAGAGAAGGCGTGGCTTTCACCTCGTCGATGATTGGCTTGCGAATTAGAGACGTGATTTGGCCGTGCTGCATGTCGGGAACAAATTTTGTAGCTTGGAGACCACGGAAAATAAACAAGAGAGCTTAGGCCTATTTGCTGCGTTTGTGTGATGACTGGAAATGTGTGCGGTGCCCGAAACCCCACTGTTGCTGGCTGCGAGAAAGGCGATTATGATGAACAAATCCGACGTATTCAGGCACATCTCCGGCACAGGTGAGGTCATTGCGCAATTTTATTTTATTTTCTTTATCTACCCTGGAGAAAACATGGCTAACTTCCGACCTAACAGCTTCCTCCTCTTTTCCGGTACTCACTTGGTATAGTCGGGAATTGCCGGTAGCTTTGGAGGCGGGGCTTCCTTTTCATGCTGCTAAGCAACGGAGCAGGTAGAACGCCTTTGAAGGTCTGTGGATTTGGAACGTGGAACTGTGCACCGGGGGAAATTCCAGCTGCTAAAACAAGTTACGCTTTCTACTAGGGAAGAATGCCGTGTTGGGCAAAGGTGTTTTTTTTTTTTTTTTTAAATGGAACGGCAGAATTTGCCCGACTTTCCCTCAAGACGCTTCTATTTTGAAAGTTGTTCAAATTTGAAGGGGGAGGGCGGGGTAGAGAAAGTTAAACCGTTAAAACGAAATACCTTCTCCTGTTATTTGAAATACTTTCACGCACCGATTCTGTCCAATATGTATAATTGCTATAAAGGTGCGGTTAAAGTCACGTAGATTAGGCCTGTCTGGCCATAATCGTGAGAAATCTTGCTGGTTTTATATTGAATCACATTTCTGAGCTTTTGATTCAGATATTACAGTATGAGAATGTAAGAGAAAGACCGTCACACCCTACGTGTCAACTTTTGAGCTTTATTTCTGCTTTATTTGTCTTTGTCGGAACCATGATATTAGGACTGTTCAGTGGTGTCTGTCTAGCTGTCAGTTGAAGTAATTTTTACTTTTAAATTTTAATTATTGCCTAATTGAAAGGTTATTAAAATAATCCTACTTCTAGGTTAGAATATGCTGCGATATTCTTATGGCGCTACTAAAATTTATTAAGCTCTTTTGATCCCCAATGGATGGTTTAATACTATATTAACGTATTGAGAAAATACTACCTAACAAGTTCTGGGGTGATTGTAGCATGCCTTTGTCCCTCTTCTAAAATAATTGTACAGATGAGTTTCAACATATTGTAACAGCTGAAGTGTACTTAATTTTTTAAAATGTACCAGAGCAACATTATTTTTGTTGTTCATATGTTATACTTAATCTAATTTAACTGATCTGAAATGTTACCAAATACAGATGTTGCTTTTCCATTGTATAGGAATGTATTGTTCTATACAATAACTGCTAGCTTTTTAAACTTTGAATTATATTTCAAACATAAATATTCTAAAACAGAAATATGCCAATACTACCTTTCCATACTTTATTATGTTTACTCTGTTCCTAATTTGCATTCATTATGTACAGTATACAGAGTATGAATTGTAAATTCCTGTTAAGCTTTCATCCATTACTTCTTGTCTTGCCTTCAGATGCTTGGGAGAATAGGTTGACAGTCCCTCAAATATTGGAAGGGTATTATGACACATCTAGTCCTTCTCTTCATTAGATTCGACATTCCCAGTTCCTGCAAATATTAATCGAATGGTTTAGCCCCCAGTCCCCTAATCTTTGTTGCTCTTCTCTGCACTCTTTCGAGAGCTCCAACCACTTTTTCTATCACAGTGACTAAAACTAGATACATGATTCCAAGTGTGGTCTTACCAGTGCAGTATAAAGCAATCCTAACATTTCACATGCTTTTTTGGCAGCTGCAGCACAATGCTGCCTCCTATTTAAGTGGTTTTCCCCTAGGACTCTTAGATTCCTCTCACACTTACTGTTATTGAGCCAGGTACTATCTATTTCAGGGGTCTTCAAACTTGGCCCTTTTATGACTTGTGGACTTCCACAAGTCATAAAAGGGCCAAGTTTGAAGACCCCTGATCTATTCTATACCTGCCTAAGTGTAAAGCCTTATTTTTCTCGCCACTAAATTTCATTTTGTTGGATAGGGCCCAGTGTTCAAGTCTGTCAAGATTCTTATGAATCTTGAACCTATCTTCTAAAGCAGTGGTTCTCAACCTTTTTAATGCCACGACTCCCAACTGGTCGTAAGTCGAGGACTACTCAACTGGTGCAGCACCGTTTGCAGAATGGGACTTTTGGCCGGCTCAGCAGGGCAGATACAGCCTGGACAATTCCTATTGGCTTTTGAAAGCCAATAGAATTAGACTCTATTCAAGAGAGTCTATTCTATTGGCTTTCAAAAGCCAAAGAATAAAAGGGAGTAGCACAGCTAAGGAAAAGGGGAAAAAATTGCGGACTGCGTTGTTTGGCGACCCCCGTGAAATGGTTGTTCGACCCCAAATGGGGTCCCGACCCACAGGTTGAGAACCACTGTTCTAAAGTATTGGTTATTCTTCCTAGTTTAGTGTTGTCTGCAAATTTGGTGAGTTCCCCTTCTATCCCATCATCTAAATCATTTATGAAGATGTTGAAGAGTACTGGGCCTAGGACAGAACCTTGTGGTACTCCACTGCTTACTTCCCTCCATGTAGATGTAGTTCCATTGAGGAGTACATGTTGAGAGCGGTTGGTCAGCCTGTTACAAATCCTTCTGGTAGTGATGCTGTCTATTCTGTATTTTTCTGTATTACCATGAAGTAGTCTTTGGTCTACTTTGTCAGTATCTGGGGCTATACTCCAAATATTAGTGAGTCCAAGACAAAAATAAATGTCACTCTATTTCACTGTCACATTTAATTAACCTTAAACATAATAAACCTGGCTATTCAAAATGTGTGCATTTAATTGTTTTCCAGTCTAACATTATAGTTGGATGTTATGTTTTGAAAGTTCCTAGAAGCTGTACTGGGTGAAGACTCTTAAGATGGAAACTTAAAAGCCTGGGCAGAATGGAGGAGAGAGATAAAAAAACTGGCAAAGATGGATCTAAATTTTGGCTCTTGAAGGTTTGTTTTCCAAGAGAGCTTGAGCAAGATTTTTGAAATGACTATATTCAGGGTTGGTCTGAAGATTTGCTGGAGAAAGAAGAGAACCACTGTGGGACAAATCCTCCTTTTGTGGAAGCTGACAAGACAAGGGAGCTTCTGCCAGCCAAACAAAGAGACTGATATCCAAGAGGGAAAATTCCAGCCATAACATAGGTGTAACAGTACTTTTATTTTTGTTGCCACTCTTGCTTACCTCTGAAAGAAGGTAGACTTTACTGCAGGGGTCTTCAAAGTTGGCCCTTTTATGACTTGTGGACTTCAACTCCCAGAATTCCTCAGCCAGCATGCCTGGCTGAGGAATTCTGGGAGTTGAAGTCCACAAGTCATAAAAGGGCCAAATTTGAAGACCCCTGCTTTACTGGGAGCAGGAAATTTTAGAGAACTTACTGACTTGCTTGATGACTCAACTCTTTCTTAAATGGATCCTATAGAAGTTATCTAGGCAGCATCTTAGGTATTGACTGGGAAGCTTGAATAATCTTGGAAATTATATTTAGAATCTCCTGTTTGATGAAGGTTTGCTTTGTCTCCAAGTGGTTGACAGGGGTCTAATCATTTTTCAAAGTTTTAGGGAGTTCCCATGAAAATATTTTCTAAGTTGATGGTTCCATTTAGATCAGTGGTTCTCAACCTTTCTAATGCCGCGATCCCATAATACAGTTCCCCATGTTGTGGTGACCCCCAACCACTTATACATCACCGGGTGCCAGGGGTGTAGCCAAAGAAAAGGGGGAAAAAATGGCGGACAGTCTTGTTTGGTGACCCCCATGAAATGGTCATTCGACCCCAAATGGGGTCCCGACCCACAGGTTGAGAACCACTGATTTAGATAGCTGTATAAATTGTTTTGTTGATTTTAAAAAGAAAATATCTTGGACTCCTCTCTGCTTAATTCTTTAATGTATTAAATTGTAATGTATTAAATTGTATATTAATGTGTATTAAATTGAAATGTTTTTATTTTGACTTTTTATCTTCTTGGAACTGCTATTACTCTTGTATCAGACTATTGAGTGCCCATGTTTACTTCCTTTCTGATTAAAGGAAAAATCCAGAAAAGAGTAATTATCCTCTTCTATATGTTCAAATTGAGAGTTTGTTACATGAATGGAGTTGATATATCTATATAGTCTGATTTCATGTGAACAGCTACTGATTCAAATATAAAGGTTAATTGAAAAATGAATAGATTTTAAGGAATGATAAGGTTAGAAGTTGTAGCTTTCCTAGTGTGAATAGATGCTAATATCTAATAATCATATTTTAATAAAGTGGAGTTTTGAGTCATCAAATCTATGCAGAACATTTTGGATCTCTTTACATCAGGTTACAACCAGGCTTGACTAATTGCCAGAGGATTTTAGGATTTAAACAGCTGTGAAGAAAGTACTGATAGTCCTTGACTTACTATTGTAATTGAGTCCAGAATTACAGTTGTAAGTTATGGCAGTCATTAAGCAGGTCACCACATGATAATACCCAATTTCATGATCTATTTTCAGAGTCATTAAGCAATGCTGAAATTCTTAAGTGAACGCTGGCATTGTTAAATGAATCCATTTTAACCAATGGCTGGTGGTTTTTTGTTTTTTTTTGCTGGAAACCCGAATTAAACACTAGTTTCTGGCAAAAAATGGTAAAAAAATCATGGTCATGTGGTTGTGAAATAGTGGGCCAGTTGCCAAGTGGCCAAAATGTGATCATATGGCTGTAAGGGGAGGTGGTTGTCAGAACTTCAAAACCAGGTTGTGAGTAGCTCTGAGGAAGTCCATTGTAACTTCAAAGGTGGTTTGTAAGGAACTCGGAGGAGGTCATAAGTCAAGAATGACTATAGTGACAGCCATTACAATAAATAGGGCTTAAAATTCGAGAGTCGCAGGAAATTAAAGGAATAGAAGTTAACAAAAAAGAATATAAGTTAAGAGCCTTTGCGGATGACTTGGTTGTTACTTTGTCGCAACCTGTTCATTCTGCAGTAAAGCTATTACAGTTGATTCATTATTATGGTTTGGTCTCGGGTTTCAAGATTAATGTTAATAAGACTAAAATTCTACCTAAAAATATGACTAGTCAGGAGAAGCAGACTTTGGCTAACTCGACGGGTTTTGAAATTGTTAATAAGGTAAAATATTTGGGGGTGATGTTATCTGTT